TCTATATTTAAAGGGCTTAATCTTCAATCTTAGTTCTTTTTGCCAGATTCTCCTTGATCTATTTAATTAATTTATTTATTTACTTTTATTGATTTTTAGAGAGAGGAAAGGAAAGAGGGAGGGAGGGAAGCAGAGAAGAAGGGAGGAAGAGAGGGAAGGAGAGAGAAAAACATCAATTTATTGTTCCATTTATTTATGCATTCATTGGTTGATTTTGGTATATACCCTGACCAGGGATTGAACCCACAACCTTGGCATATTGAGAAAACACTCTAACCAACTGAGCTACCCAGCCAGGGCCAGTTCATGAGCTATTTTTTGTTTGTTTGTTAATCCTCACCCGAGGATATATTTTTCCATTGATTTTTTTAGAGAGACTAGAAGGGAGGGAGGAGACAGAGAGAGAAACATCAATGTGAGAAAGACACATTGAACGGTTGCCTCCTGCATGTGCCACTATCAGGGACTGGATGGAGCCTACAATTGAGGTAAGTGCCCTTCACTGGAAAGTGAACCTGGGAACCTTCAGTCCGAGGACTGACGCTCTATCCCAGCGGTTCTCAACCTGTGGGTCGCAACCCCTTTGGGGGTCGAAGGACCCTTTCACAGGGGTCACCTAAATACATCCTGCATATCAAATATTCACATTATGATTCATAACAGTAGAAAAATTATAGTTATGAAGTAGCAACAAAAATTTTATGGTTGGGGGTCACCACAACATTTGGAACTGTATTAAAGGGTCGCGGCATGAGGAAGGTTGAGAACCACTGAAGGTAGAGTCTATCCACTGAGTCAAACCAGCTAGGGCTCATGAGCTAGTTTAATTTATCTCCTGAATAGCTTAATTTTACTATTAAATATTTTCAAAGTATATTTTTATTGATTTCTGAAAGGAAGGGAGAGGGAGAGATAGAAACATCAATGATGAGAGAGAATCATTGATCGGCTGCCTCCTGCGAGACCCCTACTGGGGAACGAGCCCAAAAACCAGGACACTCAATCACTGAGCCATGCCGGCTAGGCACTATTAAATATTTTTAAAAAATGGGTTCAGAAATGTTACATTCTGTGAGGATTTTTATTTTTGTTAATGTCTAAATTTCAATGGCAACCTGGCTAAGTATAATATATTTTTTGGTATAATATATGTTTTATAATATATGAATATTATGAATTGGTATATGTTTATAAACATATAATATATGTTTTTCCCCTTTTAGACATGGTAGTCAAGCTATATATAGGTCTGAAAAAAAGTTTCTGCATGCCCACCATTGGGGATCGAGCCTGCAACCTGGGCATGTGCCCTGACTGGGAATTAAACCAGCGACCTCTTGGTGCATAGGACAATGCTCAACCAACTGAGCCATACTGGCCAGGGCTGGATAAAAGCTTTGTCGTTCAATATTTAAAAATATTTAATCCAAGCTGATAAATCTCTAGTGAGACTATTCAGGAAAAAAAAGAGAAGAAACATATTACCAATATCAAGAATGACAGAAATGACATTCCTAACAGATTCTAGAGATATAAAGATAACAGGGAAATATTATAAACTTATGTCAAAAAATTCAACAACTTAGATGAAATAGATAAGTTTCTTGAAAAACACCTACTAATGCTTGTTCAGGAAGAGAAATCTTGAATTACTTTATAGCTAATAAAGAATTTTCATGTGTTGTTCAAAAGCTTCCAGTAACTAAAACTTCTGGCCTACATGGATTAATTGGTAAATTCTATCACACATTTCAAAAGAAAATACCATTACCACAGAAAGTCTTCTAGAAAGTTGAAAATGAGGAAATACTTTCCAACTCATTTATTTTCCCCCCAACTCATTTAATGAGGCCAAAAACCTAACACCAAAACCTGACAATGACATTATTAGAAACCTACAAAATACTATCTTTCATGAACATGAATGCAAAAATTCTAAATAAAAATTTAGCAAAGTGAATAAAATATAAGAAAAGGGTAAAAGATGATGACAAAGTAGGGTTTATCACTGGAATGTAGGGAAAGTTTAACACTTGGAAAATCAGGAAAATCAATGTCATTCATCATATAAAGAAACTTAAAAAAAAAAGGCTTTGCTTCTAAAAGAAAAAAAAACCAAAATAAAATGAAAAAGAAAAAACAAAAAGAGAAAATAAAAAAACAAAGTTGGAGGACTAATACTACTGAATTTAAAACTTATTAGATATAAGAGCAAAAATAAATCTGTAAAAATTTGAATTATTGATTTTCAACAAAGGTGTAAAAGCAAGTCAATGGAAAAAGGATAATCTTTTCAATAAATTGTGCTGGGACAACTGGATATCCATATGCAAAAACAAACAAACAAAAAAAACCCCTAACAAAATCAATCCATCCTTCCCACCATATACAAAAATCATTTCAAATGAATCATAGACCTAAATCTTAAGAGCTAAAACTATAAAACTCATAGAAGAAAAGAGGAATAAATCTTAGTGACCTGGAGTTAGGCAAAGATTTCTTAGCTATGAAACCAAAAGAAAAATCCATAAAAGAACAAACTGGCAATTTGAACTTCATCAAAATTATGTGCTCTTCAAAAGACACTAATAAAATGAAAAGATAACAACAAATATTGGTGAGAATATACTGAGTGGAACTCTCATACATTGCTGGTGGGTACATACAATGGTACAAACTCCTTTAAAAAAATGATTGGCAGTTTCTGAAAAGTTAAATATATATCTAGCACATGATCTGGGCATTCCACTCTTAGGTATTTAATCAAGGGAAAATAAAGCAAACATTTCACATGAATGTTCACAGTAGCTTTATTAAGAGCCCAAATTTGGTAACAACCCAAATGGGGAAACAAACCACTTGATATCCATAATCAAGTGAACAGATAAAAACATTATAGTATATCTATACAATGGAATACTACTCCACAATAAAAAGAAATGAACCATCAATACATGTAACAACACAGATAAATTTTAGAATAACTATGCTTAGTAAAAGAGGCCAGACTAAAATACAAACATGCAATATACATGCTTAAACTGACATAAAACCTTAGAAAAACAAACCATTTACATATATTTATATATACAGTAAAATATATTGTTGGTTTCATGGGGATATAAAAGAGTGGGAGAAAGGAATTATAAAAGGGTTTGGGGAAACATTTTGGGTAGATATGCTTGCTATCTTGAGTGGTGATGGATTAATGGGTATGTATCTCCAAACATCAATTTTAAAACTTTAAATATAGTAGCTTATTGTATGTCAATTTCACCTTAATAAAGCTGTTTCGAAATGCAAAACCTGCTAGTACTAGGCCCATATTCCCCCAAGGGCAGTAATAGGCTGAATGGCAGGTGTTGCTCTTCTCCCCACCAATATTTTCTTGTTTTAAACTAATTTCTTTAGCTTCTTCATTAAAAAAAAAAAAATCAATATCCATGTAGAAATTTCATTTTTTTTCAGTGATGATTTTCCCCCAAACTGATTATTTAACTCTCTTTTGTATTTGTCATCATCATGATTAGATTTTGTTTGCTGTGATATAGTTTGGGTAAATTCCTTGATTTTTTTTCTCATCTTATCTGAGACCTTTTTGAATTATAGTGAAAGGCTGGATACTACAATCTACTCATTTCTTTGCTGCTAAGTAAAATGGTGTGTGCATTATTTATATTTATACTAGAGGCCCGATACATGAAATTCATGCAAGAGTAGGCCTTCCTTCCCCCGGCTGCCAGCACCGGCTTCCCTCTGGTACCCGGGACCTGGGCTTCCCTCCTGCCACTGGCAGGCATCTGGGACCTGGCTTTCCTTGCAGCCCTGGCTTCGTCCAGAAGATCCACTGGTCTAATTAGCATATTATGCTTTTATTATTATAGAAGATTGTATTTTCAAGGACAGAAGAAGAGTATAGGTAAGTATAGTCCTTGTACGATAACTTTGGGGGTTGCTTAGTTAGGAATTAAATTTATTGAGACCATTATGGTCAGTACTGTTCTCTCATTAGAGATTTCTTTTGTCTTTGCTGAGGTATAGTACCAATATTGAATGTTTAGTAAAGTTTTCCTTGACTTTCACCATTGATCTAACACTCACTCTCTCTATTTACCTTTGAATTTGCAAGTACCACTGCCTTAGTTTTTCCAATATTGCTTTTAGGAAGGTGAGCTAGGAGTTAATCATGACACCAAGCCACTTAAAAATCTGCTGTGCCTGAAAAAATAAAAAGTCTTTATTGATTTTAAAGAGGAAAAGAGAGAGAGAAACATTGATCAGTTGCCTCCTGCACGTCCCCTATTGGGCATCGAGCCTGAAAGCTGAGCATGTGCCCTGACCTCTTGGTGCATGGGACAATGTTAAAATTTCCCCAATTCTGTCTGAGTTGCTACTGAATTTTTGGGGGGAGGGGAAGGCATGCATTTTAAATAGAATACCCTGTATGAAGCCTTATGCTGTTATTTTTATCTGATTAGCTATCCCCCAAAGATTGTTGCCTTCAGGAAAAAAATAAAAGCTATCACAAATAAAAAATACAACAATATTAGGAAAAGAACATAGGGCTACTTTTCAGTTATTAAATCTGATTTTGTATAACAGCTGTTTTGAACTCTTTACAATAAAGGGTTTGAGAACTCACACATAAAAAAAGCAAAGTATTAGTATGCTTATGCAGAAAATAGATTACAAATAAAAGGTGTCTTGGAACAAAGAAAAAGTTTTCTTGTAAATATTTATAAAAACAGTAGAAATTATAACATTTCTAGAATATAAATAATTAAATATCATTCATTAACTATAGGAACTAATGAAATGAAATAAAGTCAATGAAACAAGTTTCTCACAAGAACCTACAGAACTTTTTATTGATATAGTTATGGAGATTTTGATTCTGTAGGTATGTATGAGTAACAATTCTATGGTTCAATAAACTATACCTTTAATTTAAAGGGAGGAAAAATCTAGCAATGCAGCATTAATGCATAAGCAATACTTACCAGTACCGGAATTTTGAACCTAATGTAAAATAATGTGCAAAAAAATTCTTTTGAGGTGGAAGGGGTCTGTCCAAACGGAAGAAGGTGTGATGTTCTACACAAGCTTTCCACAAATTTTTGCATGCTCTGTAGTTCACCATATTAAATCCCAATAAGGTTTCTCTGGATTCATGCTGTAATAAATAACAAAAAGCAGAGGATACCAGGAATATATCAAGATCAATACTCCATTTATTTTTTATAGGTAAATATTCTAGCCTTACAAACACTAATCACTCGTTTATTTTGTTGTTGTTGTTATTATCCAATAAAAAAAGCAACAAAATAAATGAAAAGGTTTCTAAAATGTGGGCCTTATTACAACTCTTAGTTTTACTTTAGAACATAGTTAGAAATAAGTTTAAAAATTGATGTATCTTTTTCAAAACTTTCTAGCTCTAATTTGTTTCAAAATATAATCCTGGCCCTGGCAGATTTTCCCAATGGTTAGAGCGCCGGCCTGTGCTCTGAAGGGTTGTGGGTTTGATTCCTGGTCAAGGGCACGTACCTGGGATGCAGGTTCCATCCCTGGCCCTAGTTGGGCATGTGCAGGAAGCAACCAATCTCACATCGATGTTTCTCTCTCTCTCTCTCTCTCTCTCTCTCTCTCTC